CATGCCCTTATTATTTTTCAAAACTAAAAGCTGAATAGAAATACAATGTAAATACATTTACTGCAAAACCTGTCATGTGTGGTGGAAATTGAGCTTTTTGCTGAATAATGATGCAACATCAAAAAGTTTTTCTTTACTTATTAAATTATGAATCTGTCCTGTAATGGGGAAAAATATCTCATGCCATTTAAAAGTGTGTTTTTGTGGCCACTTGGTTATAGCTTTAAAGCTCTTTTGTTATTTATCAGGCTGCACATTCTCAGATTAAATCGATGATGTTGCGCATCCACCGTGGGTCAATCGTGTCATCTAGGAATCTAAGGTTACTGTATGTGTTTTTGTTCAAAATACATTACATTTAGGATTTGCACAAAACAGGGATTATAATGTCCGTTACTGTGTGCATGCGTACACGCTTGTATGAGATGATGAGGATCAGAGTTATAATGCTTAAAGGTTATTTATCCTCACCTCGCTGGACTCAAAGAACAAGCAGCTTACGGAGCTGTCCGCTGCTTTTGATTGGTCAAAGCCAGCTTGCACTGGGTTGTCACGGCGAACAAAAGCCCCGGTTTTGACCCCATCATCATTTCCTACCGTATACACGGAAACATTTCAAGATATTACTTTGATCCAGGAAATCCAAAGGAAATCCAATCATAATGTGGAAATCCTCCCCTTTGTTTTTTTGACTGTTAAAAACGGCCATGCTTTAGTTTTGAGCAACACATTATGGCATGTCATTGTTTTCAGACATTATATTGAAGTTGAGAGCTGATGACAGTTTCTAAAGGTCCTGTGCTAATCCCTGAGTTTATCGTATTCATCTTCCCTTGACAATTCATATTAATACTGCTGCCTGTGGACCCAAACAGTGCTCCATTAATAATACGGATAATTTTACACAGATTCAGCTATAACTTTAGAGATTATAATGTATGTATGTTTTAATTATTTGGCTTTTTTCTAAAGCAGCATACAGAATAGGTGCATTCAAGCCACATTACTGACCAGGTCCTCTCTTTTTTTAAATGTATTTAAAAAATGCATTGTCATCAAGCCAAACAAGGCTGTTCTTTATAGATCCCTAAATGTCACAGTTTAGATTACGATATCTTTACTAATATCTTATATAAGCACATCTAACACTAAATGTAACATATTTAGCGTTTATAATTTTAAGAATCTTTTTACAGTAAATACTTTGTTCATAATGCAAAACGATGTGTCATGATCCGATAGCAGGTGTTTTTAAATATACAGTATTTGTCGACAAATATTCATTAACACTTAATTAAACCATTTATTGTATGTTTGTTTGTATATATATTACTAATAGATGCTAGATAAGGGGGCAGATTGGTACTATAACATTGAATTAAAGCAACATATTTTAATTTGAATAGAAGTTCAGTACAAAAGCCAAAAATGCAAATACTCAGCACTTTTACATTCCTCTAAAATACATTACTTCAGTAAATGTACGCATATTCAATACATGGTTCCTTCCCACCTCAACACTCTCCTTCACCCCCAGAAGATCATTCAGTCAGAGTTATTCCGCATCAGTCAGTTCCACAGGAGGATGACGTGCACTGAAGCTCAATGTCACTGGAGATGTTTGACTTTATCTATAGTCATTCACTCATGAAGGTGTCGGTCTTTATGGCTCAATAAGGAAACGTGTCTACGTGTAATTACTGAGAGAAGAAGAAGATGGGAGGTGAGAGGAAAGGGAATAAGGATGAAGGGAGGCTGGTGCTGTTTCTGCTGTGTGGAGCTCCATGAGTGGTACAGTATACATGCAGCTGCTCTCTGAGGATGACATCATATTGCAGGGTTTTATTAATGGCCAGTCTATAAAAGAATCACTTCCATACACCATGTCTATTTCTCCCTTGCTCCTTCCATCTCTCCCTCTTCCCTCCCTCCATCTGTCTTTACTCATATGATTCTCACTCAGTTCTCCTGTTCATCCTTCCACAGCTCCATCAGCTCCATCCATTTCCTCCTTCCATGCATCCTTGTGTCATTCCTTCGAAGCATCCTTGATTGCTACAGCACTCATCAGCCCTGCTGGCCTTGTGGCTGCAGGTGTAAAAGGACGTTATTGTTGTAATGGATGTAATCTCAGATGTGACGATAAACAGTAATGTTTTCAGTTGATCAGGTTTAGCTTATCTCAGTTACATGTGTTGTGTAACGCCCGTACAACAGGAAAAACATGCTGCCCTGACAATGCGTGAGTGGGTGTGACATACTGATTTTATCTCATGCTCAGAGAATGAAAAAAGTGAAAATGAATCAAAACTTTAAGAAGGCCTCCTTCCCTAAATCAGAATAATGTCGGAACAGACAACACAAAAAAAGGTTGGCAATTATCAACCCTTTTTATACTATGCATGATAGAAGTAGCATTTTTATAATTGGTATTAACTAAAATAACCACATTTAATTAAAGGATTAGTTGAAATTAGTGAATGTAGCTTTGATTGCACATAGTGTACATCTCCATAAATGTTGTAAAATGACAAAAACACACACACACACACACACACACACACACACACACACACACAGTTCATAAGAACTCAAATTCAGGCTGCAGTGATTGGTGTCACTGTTTGAGACTACAGACAAACAGAATCAGGGCATTGTGACGCAGAGCCTGTTCTGTTCCACTCTTCCTTTTGCTGCGTAAAAGCTGTAATAAGATACGCTTCCTGTCACGTATGGAGACTGAGGGCAGAGGGCTCTATCGTAATGTCTTTAGAGAGAGGCAGAACATATGAAAAAAGAGGGGAGAGGAGCCACAGAAGGAGAGAAAGGGGATATAGATGAAAGGGTTAAGGTTTCAATTTCATGGGAAAGCTTATAGACATATTTCCAATTTCAAGTACATGGTTCAATAATGCCTGTGTGTGTGTGTGTGTGTGTGTGTGTGTGTGTGTGTGTGTGTGTGTGTGTGTGTGTGTGTGTGTGTGTGTGTGTGTGTGTGTGTGTGTGTGTGTGTGTGTGTGTGTGTGTGTGTGTGTGTTGTGGTGTGTGTGTGTGTGTGTGTGTGTGTGTGTGTGTGTGTGTGTGTGTGTGTGTGTGTGTGTGTGTGTGTGTGTAATTGTAGCTCACTGTAAGCTGTCTAGGTTAGAACCTCTTCATCCATGCAGGTTTGGATCGAACTCTTCTTCAGAGGATCTTTGAGGCTTTGACATTCAGCGTCCTCTGAGACTATTGTAAAGGTCTCTTTGCACCAGCATGTGGACCTGTAAAAAGCATACACCATGAAACTGTGCACCTACATTAAAACCATCTTCCAGTTTCCCTTGAGCTGTTTGGCTACCAATTAAAAGAGAGGATTATTTTGCTGCTTTTTTAAACATTTATTTATATATCAATTTTTTTAGCGTCTTGGAAAACTATATATTATGTCGTTTAGGTATCTGGACGCTTAAAAAAGTAAAAAATAAGTAAAAAATATATGTCAATATGTGTCACAAATATATATATTTGTTTACATAATGGAACAAACTGACTTCATAAAAAAAGCCAATACAAGTTATACAGTACATTTAACTTAACTACTCACTGTTAAGTCCCAGGGCAATTTCAAGGAAGTGTGTGCGTCACCTGAGAGTGTGTGTATGTGGTGTGAGTGTGTTTATGTACGTCAGGTGAGGGTGTGTACGGAGGCAGGTCTGGGCGGTTGGGTGGGGATGGAAAGCCAAGAAGAGAAAATCACAGAAGATAGAGAGAGATACAGAGAGAGTGTGTGTGTGTGTGTGTGAGCATGTTGTCGGAGAAATGTTGTGTGTGTTTGAAAGTGAGCTGTGTGATTCTAAAATATGTAGCTTGTATGAGTTTGATATGAAGTGTGTATTTGAGGATAGGAAGCAAAGGAAGACATGCAGAGACCGAGCAGCTGTCATGTAAGTGTGTGTGTGTGTGTGTGTGTGTGTGTGTGTGTGTGTGTGTGTGTGTGTGTGTGTGTGTGTGTGTGTGTGTGTGTGTGTGTGTTGTGTGTGTGTGTGTGTGTGTGGTGTGTGTGTGTGTGTGTGTGTGTGTGTGTGTGTGTGTGTGTGTGTGTGTGTGTGTGTGGTTGTGCTGACACTGCAACCTGTCAGCATGTTACCAGATTGTTCTGTCACTTTTCAGTTCTCTTAACTTTCTGTGTACACTGTCAGTATTAAACTGTAGATCGTGTGACAATCTGACAGGTTTCTAAATAACTTAGAACTATTAATGCTGACTGTCTTTGTACCTTAGCTTTTTTTACTCTATCTGTCTTAGGTGACCTTCACTCTATTAGGTTTTAAGGATATGTTGTCGGTTTCACAGAATGTAAAATAATGAGTCATGTTGGGCTACGCAGTCAAATATCTTTCTTTTTGACAAATCTGCTGGTTTCTGGTGCTGAACATTAGCTGTAGCTTTGGCTTTAGCGTTGAGACTACATTATTGTTGTTGTCTGGTTGTTGCTGCTACAACAAACTTGATACATCTAAGGGAAAATAAGAGGATTAACAGCAAAGAAAAGTGACAGTTACAGTTGTTAATATGTGTCTTTTATCATACATTTTTCAAAATCTCTGCACATTTTAAGGGGTTGGAGTGCAAAACATGTTGGAAACCACTGATACACCATGTACACAAGTACATATTTACTTTTCATTTCACTTCAAAATAAAATGAATCCCACTTTCACTTAAATTATTTTTTATTTTTCCATGGTCACTGGTATACAGGAAGTAATGTGTGTTATTGCTGTGCCTTGGAGCTTTGGCTTCATCACTGTTTGTTTAATTGAATGAGGAACTGTTGATGCTTTATGATATTTTCATGCGTCAGCTACAACCACCTAAATGCATTGTCTATATTTGACACTTTCGAAATAAGCTTATCCAAGCTTTGGACATATGAATAAATACTATGACTCATGTGTGCTTTTCTATGGAAATCTGGCACTAAATTAAGTTCTGTTTGTTTTATTTATTTTTTCATAACAGTTTTCCAGGGATCAGTTCATCGTGGACTGTCCTTCAGAGAAACTTCGCAGAGAGCTGGAGGAAGAACTAAAGATGAACTGCGAGGAGCCGAGAAGTCACGCATGGTACCACGGAGCGATACCCAGACAGGTAACACACACACACACACGCACTCACACGCACTCACAAATCTGAGTCACGAGTCCCTCCCTTTAAAAGCCCGGTTAAAAACTTGTTGAACCTGATCGCCTATTATTAGTCTGCCATACTGCACACACAGTGCTTACAGAAAGATTATAACTTAAATAGTGGCCTCAGCAGCAGAGCCGGGGTTATAACATAAGGTCAGTGTATAAAAAGCTCTGTGTGTGTGTGTGTGTGTGTGTGTGTGTGTGTGTGTGTGTGTGTGTGTGTGTGTGTGTGTGTGTGTGTGTGTGTGTGTGTGTGTGTGTGTGTGTGTGTGTGTGTGTGTGTGTGTGTGTGTGTGTGTGTGTGTGTGTGTGTGTGTGTGTGTGTGTTCCCCCTGAAAGCCAGCTCTGAGATGTAATCATTTTTAATAAGCTGCTTCCTTTGGCTAAACTAAACTACCATTATATACTATACAAACACTTCCTTAATTAAAGTCTGTAAGTGTGTGTGTGTGTGTGTGTGTGTGTGTGTGTGTGTGTGTGTGTGTGTGTGTGTGTGTGTGTGTGTGTGTGTGTGTGTGTGTGTGTGTGTGTGTGTGTGTGTGTGTGTGTGTGTGTGTGTGTGTGTGTGTGTTGTGTGTGAGTGTGTGTGTGTGTGTGTGTGTGAGATAGTCTAATCTTTTGCAATTACACTTTTGTAAGGTTTTGTGTTTGCTTTGAGGGCTGCGGCTAAAGTTTATTGCCATAATAAATAAAACGAAGTTAAGAAATTCAAAAACTTTAATGTAAATATTGTTTAGTAAGTTGAGCCCTATATAACTTCAGTTTGTATGTAACCACCGCAGTGCTCATAAAGAAGGTTACAGTATAACATCCAACCCTTACTAGATCTAATCAAGTGTTTTGAATATAAACAAACTGTGTGTGTGTGTGTGTGTGTGTGTGTGTGTGTGTGTGTGTGTGTGTGTGTGTGTGTGTGTGTGTGTGTGTGTGTGTGTGTGTGTGTGTGTGTGTGTGTGTGTGTGTGTGTGTGTGTGTGTGTGTGTGTGTGTGTGTGTGTGTGTGTGTGTGTGTGTGTGTGTGTGTGTGTGTGTGTGTGTGTGTGTGTGTGTGTGTGTGTGTGTGTGTGTGTGTGTGTGTGTGTGTGTGTGTGTGTGTGCCCAATGCCATATGTAATCTATTGCATTCTTCCAGGTTGCAGAAAATTTGGTTCAGCGTGACGGAGACTTCCTGATGCGTGATTCGCTGTCAAGCCCAGGAAGTTATGTCCTCACCTGCCAGTGGCGAAATTCTGCCCAGCACTTTAAAATCAACAAGAAGGTAAAGCCATGTGTATGATTTCATATAAAATATGCAAGGGTTATCTTATGTATTAATACAAAGTTGTAAATCCACAGAATACTAACTCATAAATGAATCACATTTGAACATCTCACCTTCAGGTGGTAATGTTGAACGAAGCCTACTCCAGGGTGGAGTACCGGCTGGAGAGGGAGGGGTTCGACAACATCCCTGCACTTATAAGATACTATGTTGGCAACAGGAAGTCTGTCTCCCAGGTGGGTTCCATAAAGTATTTTAAACATGTACTCTTGTAATGGAAAACATATTCAATAGTTCAGTTGTTAGAAGTTTAAAAACATTACATGTACTACTCAGTGGTGTAAAGTAACTCAGTACATTTACTCATGTACTGTACTTAAGTAACATTTTGAGGGACTTGTACTTTACTTAAGTATTTACATTTTTCCCTACTTTGTACTTTACAGAGGTAAATTGTGTACTCCACTACATTTATTTAATACTTTCATATACTTTGCAGATTTACATTAATGTTGTGAAATATAATCAACACTTAAATCAGACTTTATGTACACCATACATAATTAAAGATTGAGTCATGATTGGAAAGAAAATGTACAACGTAAACAATGTAATACTCTACTTTCATAAAAATAATAAAAAAACAACTTGAGTTTACTTTATGTCTTCTTCTTTCCCTGCATTTAAGGTGGTTGGAGCCATTATTTTCCAGCCAATCAACAGAGCGCTGCCGCTGCGCTGTTTGGAGGAGAAGTACGGGTTGTCCAGCCATCACAGAGAGACGATCATATCGCAGGAGAAACGTAACCAGAAGCGCCTCAGCCTCAACATCACCAACGGACACACACAGGACAATGCACGCACCACGCAGGACAGCACACACTGCCGGGACAACGGCCCGAGCCGAGGCAGCCAGCTCAGGTTGGTACACACCTGGAAGAAAAACACATTGATTGTGGCATGATTGATGTGTGTTAGTTGTGTTTAGATGATCACCTACAGAACATGTGTAATTGGTTGGATTTGGCAACAAATCCCTGAGTTCCAAGTAACACAAACCTAATATTTAAAGTGGGTAGTAGGCTGCAGACCAACTAACATACTGTCGGCTATATTTGATTAATGTACACTTACCTTTACTCAAGTAATATATTCTCTCTGTTTCTCTCTCTCTCTCACACTCTGGGAAAGACTTAAATAAACCCCTTAAACCCCTTCCTGCTTTTGGACATTTAACATGTACCCTTGTTCTGTTTACATTCTTTATCCAGGAAGTGGGCTGTATATAGGACATGTTCCATATGTAACAAAAGTCCTCTATAAATAAAGACATGGTGTATGCCTTTTCTGCTATAAGGATCAGAAGTGTGTTATTTCACGAGTTCACTGAGCTTAATGTAATGACTCAATGTCTGTCTGAGTAAAGAGACCAAAAGAAAAACAAGATAGAAAGAAAAACAAAGAGAAAGGAAAAGAACAATTCATTTTTTATGTCAAGGTCTTCTTTCTTTGCTTCCTTTGCAATGATGTGGCTATTTTTTTTATTCCTAAACCTTTTTTTGGAATAGCTTTGATTTTTTTTGGCGTTCCCTTTCCCTACTCAGGTTGAAGGATCGCTGTGGCAGCCAACCAGCGAGTCTCAATCAGGTCCCAGAGAGGCGACGCCCACTGAAGGCACACCAATCAGAAAGCTACCTGCCTCTCGGTAAGTGAAAGTAAAATGTGACCTTAGTATGCTTTAGACGAAGTTCATGTCAACACACAGAACAATATTTGCATTCTTTTCTGTTTTCTGACCTTTTACCTTTATCCTCTTCTTCCTGGAACCTCCTCCACTTCTCCAGGATCCAAACCCCAGCCTCCTGACCCTCTGCTCCCGGGCCCCAACCCCAAGTCTCCAGTGTTTCGGACGGGCAGTGAGCCGGTGCTGAGCCCCTCAGTCCCACGGAGGTCTGCAGAGTTTCTGCCAGGTCAGTAGGGGGATACAATCCAATGTTAAACGAATCTGTTTAAAAACTGTCAAAAAAAAAAAGCCTTAAAAATGTTCTGCAACCTAAAGACCATCTGTCAATCTGCTTATTGGTATCATTTGTATTATCCACTTATTGGCCAGGATCAAATGCATTATATATTTTTTTATTTTAGATAAAAACATTAACCCTTTGCTTCTTAAGCCCTCCACATTCAGTACCGATAAGGAAAGAGCAACAGCTCTGTTGTTCCTGTTACAACATTTGATGAAGTCCAAACAGCATGTCTTATCTGTTGTAAAACCAAAACACACACACACGGTGTAATCTATCCTTATTTGCTCCTGCCATTGTTTGTATGGAAATAGGAAATTAAATGTAACCCTGTCCTCATATGCTTCCATGCACTTTTTGGTTGTTTGATTCAAATTTGGCAAATAGAGTAAAATGAATAATATAAAAACTGGTTTTACATGGCACAGAAATGAAATAACAAATGTCTCTAACACAGACACAGAGGATGACTGCCTTGATTGATTACATTTGGTTGCAGACATATCTGATCAATCATTTGGTGTTTACAGGCCAGGCCATCCGGGGCTCAGACAGCCAGCTGTGTCCCAAACCTCCTCCAAAGCCCAGCAAGGTGCCCCTGGCCCGGCTGCCCCGCTCCCCCGCCCTGCAGCCTCTGGCGCCCCCCCCCCATCTCCTCCAGCCTCACAGACGCCTCCTCCACCTCCCCACGGCTGGCTGCACCCTCCCTGGACTCCACAGGTGTGGATACTCATGGTTCTACATGGAGGAGCGGAGGTAACTTTATTTCTTGTAAAATGAATCCACAGTAGGTCAGTCACGGTGTGTAAGGAAAGACTTTTAAACGTCTCAGGAAAAGATAGTCCTACATGAAGAGGTACACTCGTACATAGTAGTCTGAAACAGAAAATACTTCAATTGATCAAACATTGCTATACTATTCATTTCTGTTTTAATAAATGAACTGTTTTCATTATCCAAGTTATTCAACCTAATTTATTTTAGGAAAGGTTACAAGTTGCTTTCAGTCAGTTGAATTTTCTATATCAAGATTACCTTTTTGAATTGCTCTAGATGCGCATATTCTATTTTGATACCTATATAATTGATGCATTGACTGTGGAGTAAAGATATCTATATATAAATATCAACTTCCCCTCTTAAAAACCAAATGGAAATAAATGAAGCACTGTTGTTGGTTCCCCACAGCTACCACAGGCCCTCCTGTTCCTCCAGTGAAACCCCTGAAGTTCCTCCAACAGCTCCACCCTGCAGACTCCTACAGCTCCTCCAGTTCTCTCCTCTCCCCCGCTGAACAGTACTCAGATTCAGAGACAAACGCAGGATGGACTGAGCGCCCGCAGCCCAGTCCCGCAGAACCGAGGTCCTGCAGCCCACTACAGTGGGAGGAGCCAGACTCCATGACGGACCTCTACCTTCAGCCTCTGCCCTGCAGCTACGTGGAGAGACTGAGGAGAGAGGGAGAGGGCGGGAGACAGGAGAAGGAGAAGGATGCGGGAGGGAGGAGAGGGCTGGATAGGAGCTCCTACCATCACGCCATCGCTGCTTTGGAAAACACCAGCGAGGAAGAGGAGGAGGAGGAAGAGCAGAGGAGCAGTTTCCAGAGGCCGGTGGAAGAGACGGAGTCCACGTTCCGGCCTTCGGAGTTCGGATCTCGACTTTTGCCGGAGGAGAACAAACCGCTGGAGATGGTGGTGCTGAAGAGAGCCAAGGAGCTGCTGCTCAGCCACAATCACCACAGCATCGCCAGACACCTGCTCATGGCCGACTGCCAGGTACACACACGCACACACACGTCTACATTGGAGCTACACATGTTTAGTGTTGCTCCTCCACACAGATGTTCCATTTGCGTGTCTCAAAATGAGATTTCTATCCTGCAGCTGATGCAATAAAATGACGCAGGAGAATCACAACCCTGAGCCGAGCACAATGTTACACTGTATTACGCACAAACTGGCAGCCACAGAATAAGAGGAAGACACAACGAGACTGACCTTTTTTCCTCCTCCAGGTTGCGAGGATAGTCGGAGTGACTCCAGAGGTCAAAGGTCAGATGGGCGTGTCCTCCGGTCTGGAGCTGGTGACGTTGCCGCACGGTCGACAGCTGCGGCTGGACCTGATGGAAAGGTAAATATGAAAAACATGCATCACACATACACACTGCAGTACAAATATTGCATCACACATTTAGTAACACACTTCCAGGAAACCCCTTTAAATGTAACCCAGTGACTCCTTTCAAAGGGGTTCCAAGTTAAATCTCAAAGGTCACAATCATTTTGTTTTTTCAAGTTTGTTTTTCTGACCTTTTGGGGTATTTTTTCAAGATACTGGGTACTTTTGGCTCTTGCCACTTATAGAATGTATTTCTTTTAAAGGGTTGCAGTCCAAGATGGTTGGGAACAACTGGTTCGGTTAAACCAGCCTGCTCTCAAACTAAAGATTAAAGATGATATCATTGATTCATAACTGCTGAGTCATTCATTCTACTTCCTGTCATTCTTCAAAAAACTCACTGAGAGATCAAATTAGCAAACAAAAAAATACATTGACATCACATAGTTGTTGGCTTGTGTTGATTATCCACCCCTTCTTGGTCTCCCAGGCACCACACCATGGCGATAGGTGTTGCCGTGGATATTCTGGGATGTACGGGTAGCGCAGATGAGCGGGCGTCCACCTTAAATCGCATCATCCTGGTCGCAGTGGAGCTGAAGGACACGGTGGGCGACCTGTTTGCTTTCACGGCCCTGATGAAAGCTCTGGATCTGCCACAGGTAACACACACACACACACTTTAAAAGTTGAACAGACATTGATGAAATAAAAGTGTCGGATAAATAGTTCTCAATCATTACCTGCCAGAATGTTTCACTTTTTTGTGTCATTTGTTTTCTATTTGCAAGAATATATCTTTCTGTTGGTAGGAAATCTTTAAACTTGATTTGTGTTGTTTTTTACTCTGCAGATCAGCCGTTTGGAGGAAACATGGACAACTCTGCGAAGGAACTACACACAGACCGCCATCAACTACGAGAAAATACTCAAACCTTTTTACAATAATCTGTATGAGGGCACAGGTACTAAACATGCACACAGAAACACACACACACACACACACACACACACACACACACACACACACACACACACACACACACACACACACACACACACACACACACACACACACACACACACACACACACACACACACACACACACACACACACACACACACACACACACACACACACACACACACACACACACACACACACATTGGCCCAAGGTGTCTTAAACAGCATCAAACGTGGATTCAATTAAAAAAAAGGGGAGAAAACTAGCATCAAAACAAATTATTAACAATTTAGACAGCTGTCACATGCTATACAAGTTTGAGTAAAGACAAGTTAATGGAAGTAATTATAACATTTTTAGAATCAAATGTATTCCCTATGGTTAATCACATCATGTTTTTAAGAGCACCATTAATTAAATGTCTATCCTACAAGTGTTGATTTCATCCCACAAATGCTCAAGTGCAGAATAATGTAATATGACAGAGATACTAGAACCATTTTTTATAGATTGAAGGGTTACAAGAATGTTTTTTTTTAAATATGAATGGAAAATAAAATGTGGCTTTCTTCTTATTTTTTATCCACCTCTCTCCTCCTGCAGCTTCCTCCCCTGCGGTGGTCTGCGTCCCCCTCCTGCTGCCCCTCCTCACTTTGATGGAGCGCCCGTCAGTCACACCTGAGGGGGCGGAGCTCTGGGAGACCAGCGACCAGGGCTGTGACATCATGCTGCGCCACCTAGAGGCCGCACGCCAAGTGGCACACAACGCACACAGCTACACAGCCAACGCACACAAGTTATTACAAGGTACAAATAAGAAAACGCACAAACATGTACAGAAAAATATATAGTTTGTGGATTATAAGAGAAAAATAAAAGATGTCTAAAATATGTAATTCTTCATCCCCATCAGGATTTACATGGGATGAAGACCTGTTGGAGGTGTTTAAAACAGACTTTCAGCTGCGGCTGCTGTGGGGGAGCCGCGGAGCTTCAGTTAACCAATCAGATCGCTACAACAAATTCAACCTCATCCTCACTGCGTTGTCACGGAAACTGGAGCCCCCGCCTAAAACACAAACATTAATCTGACTCCAACCTGAACAAAAACTCTGACATCAAATGCACTTTGGACTTCAGTCGAGCATCAGGAGGAGAAGAGGAGCAAACTGTGACGAGGCAGGAAGTTGATCAGCGAATGATGAAGAGGATACACTTCAAAATCTTCATACAGAGACTCAGCAGCCGAACCTGATGTCAGATGTTGATTAGGCTCTTAATTTGTTAAATATTTAACAAAAGTCTGTCGTTTTACTCTAGTTTAAAGGCTTCAATTTCACTCAATGACTCATAGCTCTGACACCTCACATTTTAAGATACACATACAGGCGTAATCTAAAACATACCAGGATCAAGATTATTATTATTATCATTATTATTACATTTTAATTACTCTTGCCATTGCCATGATCAGGAGATGCAGGCAGTATCCAAAGTTCATTTAACCCTTATGTTGTGTTCGGGTCTCCCGTGACCCGTTTCAAGTTAAAATGATATAATAACTACGCTCTAGTTTTTTTTATTGGAACAAGGCTTCATGGTATCCTCCACAACAGCTATATAAACACTACAAAACTGATTTTGACCATTTTTGCCAAGTCTGAAGGTCTCTTAAAAAAAAAGTGTATAATTTGGTGTTCGGGTCTGGGGAGACTCGGCAGAATTGTTTTGGGTGACTCAAGGTCAAATTGGCCCAATCAAGATTCATCTTTGACTTTAGACACCCCAGCCCCACCCCCTTCATCAATTGTAGCAATAATTTCTCGCCGCAACATGCACCTGGTCAACGCTTTTGAACACAACACAAGGTTTAAATCCTTGGAACTTGAATCCTTCATGAAATGGAAAGATATGCGGCTTTGTCACAGCTTATCTTCAAAACAATCTTTTTAAAGGGAGTTACTGATTCCTGAGAACAGAGCAGACAAAAGGAGCTTAAACTGAGGCTTTTAATGCTTTTTTCCCTGATAAGGCACTTGTTTTATTTCTACTCTGACATTCCAGTTAATGGAGAACATCATTTTGCCGCATCAAACTACAAATAGCTCATCTTGTGACAAATATATTCAGAAGAAAATGTCAGGATGTGTATGCCCTCCGTATTTATTTATGTGAAAGTAGTTTTATAAACGGAGGAAGGACATTTCCCTACAAAGTGCACATCTCTGTATGTTGCTTAGATAGAAAGAAAACATGTATTTGAGAGTTGCAATGAGATTTCTGGCTGTAATGATCTCTGTGACCTTTGATATAAAATCACTGAAAACAATGATATTATATAATAACATTATATAACAACATTCACATTAATATAATATTAAAGCAAGGTTTTTTTTCTCACAAATCATTAGATATATAATATTTCCAGGTGAAAATATTTTTCTTTCTGCATAAACCTGAAAAGTAAGTTAACATGTGAGAGACTAAAGTTGTACATAATTGAAAAAGTAGCATGTTAATAAGAGACTGTACATATTTCCTGTAGAAGACTGACTGTAAAAAAAAAAATGTCGATGATTTTAATATGTTTATATTACTATGAATTTAAGAATGAATAAATATGGTGTACAATCTGCATCTTTGTGGACATTTTTAGGACATTTGGCTTTGTTTAAGTTGTTATTGAAATTCATTCGAGCATAATTAAGGTACTTCTTTACGACACTTGTTGAAGGCATTTTACTCATGAAAGGGATAGTGGTGGTCTAATGGATAGTGAGGTGGGCTGAAGATCGGAAGGTTGTGAGTAAAAATCCCGCCAGGAACACCACCACTAGTGTGCCCTTGAGTAAGGCACTTAGCCTTCAGTTACTCCAGGGAGAATGTCCCTGTAATTTGTAATTGTAAGTCGCTTTGGATAAAAGCGTCAGCTAAATGAAATGTAATGCAATACACTACATTACCTCACAGGGAGATTCAAAAGAGAGCAGAATTCCTAAAATGTCAAAGAAAACCAATCCACTTCTTTCCATTGCTGCTTATTTTATTAGAACAATATCTTTGAAGAAGATAAAACAAAGTGTCTGACAACATTCAAAGTAAAAAGATGTGCACAACAATATGGAAAGGGAAGTACTGCCATTGGTTATTACAACATACAACATGGTAAAAACACATTTACATGGATGTTAACATCATTCAGAATCACCTTGTACCTGCTGCTGTTTTTATTTACTGTGATTGGATGTTGATGCTGATAACAAAAAAACTTTTATCGTGAGTTAAAGAGCTGAGAGAATAATCTGTACAAAGCTTCCACAAGACAAACATGATCGGCGTTCAAAAACAAGAGGAATGTAGAAGTGTGTTTTTTTTTTCTGGGTGGTAAACAGCACCCCACTCACAGTAGCATGGCAGGTTTCACTAAAGAACCGTTGCAAGAACTTTATTAAAGCTGCTTTGTTATGTATTTTTGCATAATATCCAGAAGTACAGTAAAGCGGATATAACATTTACTGAGCTCAAAGTTTTTATATGTATATTAATTGACTAAGAAGAAAATGTTTCTAAGTTTGACTGATTGCAAAGGTGCTGCGTTTCTACTGACATCATGCATTCTTTGATTAAAGGGACAGTACACCCCAAATATGTCTGAAAATGAAGAATATGAAACATTTGGAGTGTACTGTCTGTTTAAGAGTTAGTATAAATGTTATACAAGCATCATCATGGCAACATCAATACAAATTCAGCAGGAAACAGAGGGGACTGTTTTGTTTATCACTGCCTATATCTTCATGTCAGTGGATTATCTTTTCCACCATAAAATAATATTCAATTACAAGCAAGGTAGTGGTTTTAGTGCTTAAACTGATGTGTCTGTTTTTTTCCCCCATGTCCTTTAGCAAACAAAAACTCTCAAATGTGCTGATCTTCTATCTTTTATATTATTGTAAATTGAATATCTTTGGGTTTTGGAAAGTTTGTAGAACAAAACCAACAATGGAAGACATCACGATGAGCTGTTAGAACTGTAGGCATTATTCATGATTTCATTTGACAATTTATAGACTTAATCAAAAATAGCAAATAAAAAGTGAAAAACAACTATTTGCACCCCCGACTGCTTAACCATAGAAATGTGATTCGACGTTATGACTGTATTGCCATTGGAACAAAAATAAATCTAATATGCAACACTTTACTGCACGCATCTTATGTCACTGTTTAGTTTTCAAAAAAGGCAAAAAACATGTAGTTATAGCTAATTTTAAAGAAAAGCAAGCAGGCTAGCAGATGTAACTAACCATGACACAAAATTGAAAGCACTGATAGATCAATGTATGCGTTTAAAAGGCATCATTATTAAAAACCAAAGTGAAGGAATAGGTTATTTTCATTTAGACCATTTTGCATCCCCAGGCTAAAATATTGAGTAGATATTTTGGGGAAAATGTTTTTTTATCGTGAAGAGTTGGATGAAAAGATCTACACCACTCTCAAACCTGTACAGTACATCTGAAGCTACTGCCAGCAGTCGGTTAGCTTAGCTTAGCATAGAGACTGGGAGCAGAGAGAAACAGCTAGCCTGGTTCTGTTCAAATGGTAAAAAGTCCTATGTTGTGGAAAGCTAATTTCTCTCAAACTTCTATTGTTTTTATCCGATGCAAAATGGACCCAGATAGGAGAGAACATTTGGAGAACTGTGACTGAAGTTCAAGTAACATCCCCGACAGCATCATTCTGTACATTTCACAGCTTCATAGAAGAAACACTGACCACTACGGAGCCTCCTGCTGTTAAGATCCACAAAGCAGCTGAATTATTAGTGGCATTTTTGTCTTAAATAGCATCAACAGAACAGTCAAACCTCAATTGTGTTTTGTTGAGAAAGTGAATGGTTAAAACAATCACCAAACACACAAAGAATTAATGTAAAGAATCTAGAAAATCATGCAAAAAAATGGTGGGTCATTGCTCGTCAAGAGTTACAAAAAGAGTATAAAAACCATCAGGAAGAGGAAATTATTAGAGCCATTTTTGTTTCTCGCTGCTATACAGTGGTCATTCATTAAGTTCACGCCTCTCAGCAGACAACACAGACCTTCATTCATTCATTCATTCATTCGCTTTAATTCATTTAATCAGATTCAAATGCTGTAGTACTTCAGGGCAAAGTGCATCAGTTCAATTCAAACCTTGTTGTCTCTCATGAAGAGTGTCAAACAAACCTAAAAACAATCACTATGGAAAAACATTCAGCATGACATAAAAGATGTTAATATTTACAATTCATTCAATGGTAAAAACTAACATCACACATGTAACGCAGGCACATGTAGACACACTTACATATTATTAAGTATGGAAAGCCAAACGTGCCAAAATTCGACATGTGTTTTTGGCCCATTTGGCCTTCCATAGATGTGCTTACATTGATACATGTGTGCATCTGTGGTCACATTCACAAATACAACCAATTAAGATGGGAAAAAACTTTTTTGATAATGGAGATGCAGTTGAGAGTCCCCGAGGAGGTAAGGCTGAGCCCAGGTGGCTGATGGGAGATGTAGTCAGGCAGAAGAGTGGAGACATCCAAAAATCCATCCAAAGTAAAACAAAATGGAGTTTTAAGACAGAGTCTGACTGCAAAAATAAATTGGTGCTCCTCCATGTTTAGTGTTGTTCAAGGTGGTCCAGTTCAACTTAAGATGAGCCATGGTTTTGTGAGCAAAGGTTTCTATCTGCTGGTCAAATGGGGGTAGTACAACCCAGGAAGTAAAGGATAGGAAAGATGGGAAAATAAAGAGTGGTAGAGAGGTCCTGTGTTCACCTGATCGGCCTGCTCTCTGTCTAATGAGTAACTTAATGACGTTAAATGCACAAAATCATACTCATGCTGGACATCAAAATACACCGGGATGATGCAGCATTCAACACACAACTCACATCCAAAGTTACACACACTCATATAGTTGCAGTTAAAGTCACACATGAAACGTGTGATCATGTTTGGGACACGTTAAGGACATGCGGCTGTATGAGGGTGAGGGCAGGCATGAGGAGCAGAGTGGCTCAGGCGGGCAGGCAGGCAAACATCACCAACAGAGCACAGATGATGACAACAGGGATGAGTGCAGGACTGACATTGTTAGTGTTAGCAAATACTGTAAGCATAACTGACCCTAACAAATGTGACAAACCCTGAGAGTCTGAGTTTAGAATTCACTGATACCCTCTCTTGAGTAGCTGGACCAAAAGTAGTGGGGAACAGTTTGTCTATTTGGAGAATATAGTATGGAAATAAGATTATTTTACAAATTCATTTCAGAATAAATGGCAAGTGGGAATTGTGTTATGAGACAGCTCAAAGCTACTTTGAGGTTAAGGGTCCATTCTTTGGAAATAGAACTTTGACCAAAAAAAGCTCATCACAAGGTGCACTTACTAGATGTTTCCGAAGCTTTCGGCCATATTTCATTAATTAAAGTTGCCGTGTTATTTTTTGTGATGAGAATTTCTTGTCAAAATGCTCTTTAATGATTTAAGGAGCCCATTAGTTTAAGCAAAAACAAGCAAAATAAGTGTTAATGGTCGCCCACAACAAAAGGCCCACAGAAAACGTTTCCTGGAAATGTTCCTCTTTGTCATTAAATTATAAATCCACAACCAATAAGAGGAAGTCCTGGTGCCATACTGTTCTCCGTGAGCTCAATCTTTCAATTAGGCATGTATTTTTACTGTGCACAACATAACTAGTGAGGTCGAAGCAGCAGTTGGTTTCTATTTGCTGTCAAACAGTGTTTGAACCCTCAGAGCAGAACATCAGTATGTTTCCCCCCCCCCTGATGTGATGGAGGGTAGCCATCACAGCCTCTAGTAACCCAGAATGCTTTGCTGGTTATGGATATGTGAGCATGCAACATGCAACCTGTCTTTATTTCATCTCTTTCCCTCTCTACCTCTCTCTTTTCTTGTGTCATCCCCACCACCAATAATCAGCAATCAGCGTGAGCCCTCCACCAGCCAATCAAATCGCCCGGCCACCCTGCAGCCCTCAGGAACCTGCAGTCACATAGAGGAGAGAGGGAGTTACTACAACATCTGGTGCTGTAGTTCGCTCTCACACGCACAAACATAACCAAATACAAATAATAGAACTGATTCACAGAACGAAATAAAGGAAGAACAAGGATTGTGTTTATACATTCGGCAGCCTCCCAGTTAAACACATTTGACCAGTTATTTTCCAACGTTGTTTGTACTACACTGTGTTGACTGCATTAACTTAATGGTCATTAAACTTCAGAACCATTTTCACTGCACAATCTTAAACTTTACAAGTACAGAGTTCAAGCATACGGCTGGTGATAAATGTATTTTCTTCTTATAGTTTAACAAATGAATTAAGCCTACTAAAGAGAGCCTACTGTATGTGTCTTTTATTACTCAGTGCTGCCAAAAATACTAAAAAGGTACATAATACTTACTATACAGGGCAAAACACAAGTATGACCTAATAATTTAAGTCAGTTAATGAGTGAATTATGTATTCATATTAAAAATGTATTTAAATAAAATGTCTAAATTATATTAAATTAATGCAAGATTGTTTCCCACATCATCATCATGGCGTGCCAGATTTAAAACGTTTTCTTTTTTATCTTCCTAACATATTTTAGCACTGCAACTTGTAAAAGTTATCTCACAGATGACTGTGTCTAATGCAGGTGTATTGCTTTCACTAAAATGTACTGCGAGCAGCTGAAAATAGTCTGAGAAATGCACCTTTTTTTAATAAATGTCCACTGAGAACTACAGTGACTTGCTGTTACAGTGAGTGTTAAGGATTTTAAAGTAAATGGAATATACTATGTAATATTTGGGACCTGTTTTGTAAGATATACGGTAGATAACATTGTTGGTTTAGTTGTTTTGCATTAGATTTGTTGACAATAATGCTAGATCAGGCAAACCCCTGTCAAGGTATGATACAACACTACCAAGGATGAAACCTGACAAACCTCTCTAAGTGTAACTCCAACTTTAACACACACACACACACACACACACACACACACACACACACACACACACACACACACACACACACACACACACACACACACACACACACACACACACACACACACACACACACACACACACACACACACACACACACACACACACACACACACACACACACACACACACACACACACACACACACACACACACACACACACACACACACACACACACACACACACACACACACACACACACACACACACACACACACACACACACACACACACACACACACACACACACACACACACACACACACACACACACACACACACACACACACAATAATTTCCACACATGAATCCAAAGAGCTTAAAATCAGTTTTAAAATTCTCCATTAAAAAAAAGAAACATTACAAATAATTAAAAAATAGATCATTTCTAATATATTACATACAACTTAAAGACTTTGATCGATAAGAAGAGGTGTGGCCTCAACACACACACACACAGAAATGCCTCGTATACATTCACACACCATTTAAAAAGGGTTTTCCTATTTGTCTCTGTTCTCTTACACTCACCTCTGATACACCAGTCCCCCAGATATGACAGGAGGACGAATGATTACAGTAAGAGGGATAAACAGGAGGATAGAGAGATGAGATGGAAATCAGAAAACACATGACTGTCCATGCAGATGTGGAGATGCTGTCTTTGTTTCCTTTTTGTAGTGTTATTTTGAGAAAGAGAAAACGGGGAGGATGGAGAGGACGACAGACAGGATGAGAACACAGTGTTAGACTCAGATGTAGGTGACAGCACCTTTGCTGTTTTTCTCCATGGTGATTTCTACGTAGGAGGTTGGGACGTAGCCCTCCTCGCCGCTCTGCTTCCTCGCCCTCGTCCAGCCGTCGCCTTTGTCCTCCTCGATGATGTACAACACCTGCAGCGGCAAAGATACGTCTCTTAAATTACTGGTCCACATTATTGGTTGGAAATAAATAAGGCTAACCCATTGAAGATTCATGTACACTATTGGATTCTTTGAGGATTCTTTTTGTCAGTTAGTATCACAATAGTGTATTTTTTTATAGTACCACTAAGAGTCGCCAAAGTCCAATACTTTGAAATGTTACACTCGGGCTTTAAAAAGCAAACTATAATAGTGAAAAATAACATTACTTAAACAGGAGGAAATGGTGATCGGTGGATTCTTCTACATATGGTGCTCTAATGACTTTACAGCAGCTGGACGGTGGTAGTGGGAATGATTCAAAATGAACTATAGTGTGTTTGTTCATCCAAGACAAAAAATACTTGTTCATAGGAACAGTTAAATGCTGGTTTGGGATTGCCCACAAATATATTTATAACCTTAAAAAAAATAAAGAGCATTACCTCGTCGTCTGCCATCACCAGTGTCCCCTCGTTCTGACCTAAGAGTCAGACAAAACATAATCGCATTAAACACACTAAGGTTAGATAATAAAAGCCGAGTCACTTCCCTTTGAGAACAACACTGAGAACATTTGTAACACTTTATGGTGTTTGTCATTACCATCGAAGGAGTAGAGCGCTTTGCAGTGTCCGATGACCGGCAGCGGGTCGTCATCGTCAAATTCGTCGTCAAACTCGTGCGGGTCGGGGTTGGGTTGCCCGGGCTTTGGAGGCGTCGTGCGCTTCTGAGGCGCCTGATGCTCCTGACTGGTGTCGTCTGTGTAACTGCCCTCAGGACTGAAGGGAGAAAGGCAGCCGAATGAGGTTGCGTTTGCATTAATTCAAATACATCACTGCTCCTTGATTATATATAAACAGCAGACTCATTATTATTCGTATGAAGAAAATTAAATCTAAGCAGGAATATTAGAGATTGACCAGCGGGTCTAATGAGTCTATAAAAAAATAACAGAGCTCCTGCCTTCATATTGTTTGGGACATTGTTTATGTTTTAACAAGAATTATGATTTAAAAAAGGTAAAATTGACATTTTACTGACTGATTATAATGCCCAAGGAATTTGTCAGCAACTAACTATCTAGTTTAGAACTAATTAAAGGAGATTATTTTTTATTTTAAACCCAAGTAACTATTTAATCCATTCTTCATTCATTTTGAATAGAAATGTTTAATTGCAGACAGTTCACATGTTAAGCTGACCCACTATGCTCTTAAGGTTAGACAAGCAGTACATTTCAGTTACTTAATTGGAGGAATACCAACTGGACCTTGCCTTTATTTCCCCTATTATCAGTACCAGATGACATTGTTCACTACTTCCGAGGAAATGATTCAAAAGTAAATAATGAACACAAACAGCCAACTACACAAGCAAACGTTAAAGGTGGGAAATAAAGACTACTTAATAAACTGAATGACTTTGAAATGAATATTAATATGAATGTTATGAAAGAAATACATCACTGACTCTATACATGTCATTAATGAATACCAAATGCTTAACATGTGATCCTCTTGCTCCCTCTGTCTGTCAGTGTGTATATAGTATGTACCTCTCTCTGCCTTGAGGAGTGTGATGGTGGTTGTCGGCGCTGTGTCGTCTGTCTCCTCTGGAGCTCTGCTTCCCCTCCACCTCCGATAACCAAGTCTGTCAACAAAGAGAGAGAGAAGGTTTCAGTCAATATGACAAGTCTATTATGACCAACTGTAAGACCTGAACAAATACTCAGCTGAAACCTTTCACCTGTAATCTGTCTTTCTTATTCTTGGGTTTTACAGTTGTGTATTTTTTGGCTCTATTTCAAGCTAAACCTTCCTTTCTTACCTCGTTTTTGTGGATTTCTGAGCGCAGCTTCTCTATGTTACACATAGTCTCTGATATTTTGGGCTGCAGGCTGATGGGGTCTCCCATCTGTGGATTCTTCTCATACACATCCTTCATCTTGTTCAGGGCATCTCTGAAAGACAGACATGCTTCGGTGTTGGTGATGGACTAATAATAATAAGCAGGTCACAGGTCACGAGTAACAACGTAAGCAGAAGCATGTTAAGGCCCTTTTGGTCATATGTGGTGATGATTTGGACTGGGCAAGGCATTATGGGTGAAGGCCAACCTCTGATCTATCTCTTTCTGGAGCTCTTTTCCGAGTTCGTCGATCCTCTGCTGCAGCCTCTTCCTCCTCTGCTCGGGCGGCAAGTGGCTGTAATCCTCCAGAGATGGGGCCTGGTGATGAAAACAAAACAAAACTACCAATTCAGAGTTTATCCTGACTGGAGGAAAAATGTGTCAATTAACTTTCTCTGAGGTGTGAAGAGGTCTGTTGGAAATGCTCGACTGAAAGAATTAATCTCCAATTTTCTTTTAAACTGACTGATGCAACAAACATCTAAAGAGATGCTATGGTTGGTGATGTATGATATATCTTATTTTTTAATCCATACCTTGGGCTAAATAATAACTAATATTTGAATATTTGTTTTTTCCCTATGGTTCTGCTTTAAAAAAAAATGTGATTCTGAATTGACTGAATATCCTATCTGTACTTACCATTTGTCAGTACTTACCATGTATAATATACAGTAGGAGGGGACAATACCATACAGTAAATAGACTTACAATGGGGAACTCTAGTTCTATTTTAGTGGGTGTGGTGAAGCTTTAGTAAGTGCATTATAATATTATATGTCAGAAGGCAGTAAATCTATTTTCACTAGGAGAGGAGACTTTACTATCACTACTGGGTTTATATATTGGGCACTAAGGAAAGTCCTACATGGTGAGGATACATTCTACTCTATACACACACTTACCATCTTGACTGACCACTGACGCATTAACCGTTACAATAAAGAGAGACAAACAACATGGGATGCTGGTTAGTGGTCAGTATGTAAAGCAGCCACTATCAAGCCAGTGGGTCAGCATGAAAGCCAGATGCTCAGATCACTACAGTTTCAGAGATGGAACACATATCAGAAGTAAATCACTGCACACCAGGAGGTTAGTGTGAATATTTCACATAGCTCATGTATATTACACAGTTCATATATATTAAATAAGAGTTTAATGCACATTAACTTTTGAATATTTATAGGCTACTACACAATTATTCATTTCTGATTTTATTCCCTGCATTTATTAAAACCAGATTATCTTGTGAAGGGAGGCCGCATGTTTATATTTGTTCCACTATAATGTGGTCTTTTAATAACTGTGTTTATTTTGTTATGATTGATATACCTCAAGGGTATAGGTGTTACATTTTAATTGGAGAAAATGTATGTAAAGGTAACTCGTGTTTGTTTGCAATAAATCTTCACAGGTCATTTGTAACTGAATTCCTACAAAACCCATCAACATCCTCTACCTTTTTCCATCTGGAACACATCTCTCTAACTGGGATAATATTACAATGAGTGATGGGTATCACGTCAGTAGTCAAACAAACGGTAAGATTGGTTCTTCTGATGGCCATTGTATTTGACCATATGGAAGAGCTATCCACGACAGTCCTGACTGAAGAGGTTTGTCAACTGTTCTGTTAAACTGTCTGCAACAGAAAGCTCTGCTTCAGAGCACACTGACACTGTAAGCGGAGCCACTCCAAAACACACAAGCACACCACTGCAAACTGCCAACATCAGAGCAACACACCTGATGTTGAAAACACTTGTTTTCCCCACACAGCACTGCAACCAGAATGCCCAAATCCCTCCAATATACACATACCTATTCACAAACACCAGATCTACAACATACACAAATAAATAAAAAGAGCCAATAAGAAAGGAAAGGAGAGGAGAGGAAGTGTCTGCCAGTTTCTTCAAGTTACAATTAAAGCCATTTAAACCTTAAACCCAGTTTAAGGGTTAAAATGTCTTACATCTTAAACCAAGTTTAAGGTTAAATTATATATTTAAAGCCATTGATTGCTTCTTTATGTTTAATTGAACACTATATATTTTCTAGAACCTGCCGACATCCTGCAGAAGAAATTCAGAAAACATAAATCACTTCAACTTGTCAATCAAACACACTACCTCCTGTCTCACCCCTCTTCTCAGGCCTTTCAAATTCTGAGGCTTTCTGGGTGTAGTCTTTATCTCAGAGCGATAGTGGCTCACTAAGTCAGTGCTGAACCGGGAACGGGAGGAAGAGGACGAAGGTGGTGAAGGGGGAGAGGAGGAAGGAGACTGGTGGGGAGCAGGAGGAGAGAAAAAAAACCAGAGGTCAGGACGACGCTCTTTATCATGAGAGCCTTTCGGTATATTATTCACAGGATTCACAACAAGTCATAGATCCGTCATAAGCATGACTCGTGTGTGACTTTCTCTGATGAAGACTGACTCATCATCCAGGCCTGGGGGGGATCATGGGTTTGTGTGAAATTAAGAGCAGTGAGTTAAACAATTAAACTATACACAAACACACACCCTATGCATGACACATGTTCCAGCTGATGACGCTAGCATAGACCAACAGCACGGTTAATGATTAACCAACATGCTCTTTATGAGAGGGGCAAGGTTCAGGCAGTGTATCACAGAATATATTTGAATGGGTTACAAACATTGGAAAGGTGACAATAACCTACGACTGGAGATACATCTGAGGAGCAGAGAAAGTTATAACACATGAGTTTTCAGGAAGTGACTGATAAAGAACAGGTTTTGCTGCATGGTTGGAATTTTAACTGCAGATTATAATGAGTCTGTGAGGAAGACAAAATGGTGATCTTTAAAGTACACAACTGAAAAGTGAATTGACAACCAGCTGAATGAAAAAAAGTAAACTCACTCACTGTTAAATAAATATAAATAAATAAAATATTAATTCTTAAAGTGGACCTATCATGCTATATTTGAATAATATAGTGTAGGACCATACCTATATAAGGCATATTTATACTTTTTTTTTTTCAAAATACCAAACAGATCATGCATTTTAGCCATGCCTCATTTTGTGCAATTTGACAATTTCTAGCTCTGGGCAGATTCAGTGAGAACAGCACCATCTACTGGCCTGGCATATGTACTACAGCGTCTCCAGCGTTTTCGAACGGCAATGGCCGTGGCTGTCTCCTCCTGATTGGTGGAGTTGGCCCAATAGCCGTAGCGCCACCATCCTGACGTCAGGACAGTGTTCAAATCTGGATCAGTTTTTATCAGATCCGTTGCAGCCCCTTTTTTAGAGATTTGGGTATGGAGGAAAATAGAGAGGGTTGTGTTTTCTGACACTTGGTGAGTTCCCTGGAACACCGGGGACACATATTCATGTATAAAAGACGTACAAAAGTGCATTTTGCATGATAGGTCCCCTTTAAGGCACTATCTTTGACTTCTATGTCTCTGTACATCATACACCAACAATGAGTTAGTGTCCATACTTTGAAGAACATATAATGTATGAGAACAGTTCAAGTTTGAACGTATTGCAAATAAAATATTTAAAATAAAGAAATGTTAATAGCTCCCCAGAAGAGGTTGCCCTTTCTTGTGTTTATATAAGCACAGTTGTAATAAGTGGATGTTTTTTTATTTCTGTCTTATATCTTATGCTGAGAAAAGGTTTCTAAAAACATTAAAACAAATAATTAGGCCACAAGAGAATAACTCCCACTTGCTTCCAAAGGCAATTTCCCCTGTTTCATGATCTGTTCTTTTGGCGTTGTATTTAGAAACACAGTGGACTATGGTAAATGACGTCACTAGTATGGAGGTGCGTTCCTCAATTTGAAACATCTTAATAATAATAATACCTAATTATTCTTTTATTTTGGCTTTTTTAATTTTTTTATGTGAGATATATGCTGAGACGCAACAATGACATAATGTGGTGGCCTTAATATTGAAGCATTAGTGTTTACTTTAAAGTCATTTTTATAATCTATTATTTAGCACTTGATTCATTACATTAAAAAGGCAACAACACATACACCCCTCACTCCTCATACCTTTGGTTTCTTCCCAAACAGCCACAGTTTGTTCTTGGTTTTGCTCATGGGGTGTTTAGGGTCGGACCGTGGCGCCGGGGCCTCTCGTTCTCTCTCTACTTTGGGTGTGCTGCTGATGGTCCCATCTGAACCTGACCTGCTCAGATGCTGACTGAAGTCCTCGAAGGGGAAGTCGCCTGGAGGGTCGAAGCCCGATTTAAACGACTCCACCACAATTATTGAATCCTGAGAAGAGGAGAGGAAATAAATATATGAGTGGTGTGAAAGGAAAAGGGAGGAAATACCAAGTAAAAATATGTTCGGGTTTACTGTTTTTCTCTTCCTTTCTAACATCCTTCGCTCTGCTACATACCTTTCGGCTATCGACAGCTTTGGCAGCAGAAACCATCCCTTCTAGACATTTGGAGACGATGGGAATGACTCTGCGCTCCGCCTCGGCGAAGCTCCGGTACGTCTCACCGAGCTTTACCGTCCGACGTTCGTCCATGTCCTGCAGATTCTGTAAGAAGAAGCGGAAATAGAATAAACACTATTAACAAAGTGCTCATAGAAACACTTCTACAGGCTTATTAGCAGTAAACATCCTGTCAGAGTTAGCAGATCCTTTTCCTGGGCAACATTCATACCTCAGTATATTTGAAATGGCTTACATGAGACAAGCTGCTATGCTTAACATTTTAAAACGTTTTATTTTGCTGGGGCTCTTTAGATAAATAAGATCATATCCAAGAAAGGTCAAACATATATATATTACATCACAATCCACTCTTAAAGACTATCTAAAAGATTATTACTCCAGTTGTTTAAGAGAAAAATCCCATACTGTTGAACAGCGACTTAATTCCATTCACTGAAATGAATTCAATTCTAAGTTTTACAAAAAGTGGTTATTACTGTAATTGAAATCCCTACGAGAAGCTTTACCTTGAAGATGTGTGGTATGGCATTGTTGAAATGTTTCCACTGCTCTCCGTTGAAGTTCTGTAGCTGAGCGGCGTACTCGTTCTTACTCTCGTCGGCCATGTGGGTGCGCAGGTAGAACTGGGCTTTGGCCTGAACCGTGACATTAAACATGAGAACCAAGTTAGCTGGAGCATCAACAACCTCTCGTTTGGTCAACATTACCATGCTAGCAAATGACAGGCATAATAATGATACGAAGGGAAAAATATGTTGCATTTTCTTCTATTAAAGGATTGTGAGACATGGTTTTAACGGAACAAATCCAGAATATTACCCCACTGTTAATATATTGTATTTCTTAAGCAAGGATAAAGCCACCTAAAGCTCATTTGTAATTGTCTAATTTGAAATTTGACTTGACATTTGAATCCATCATCCTTATTTCCAGAGTTATTCTGTAAAAAACTGTAATGAAACAGTACCTCATGTAGAAAATAAGGCTGACTGGGCTATGCTTTAACCTCTATTTGGAAAGGTTTATTTTCCTCCAAGCTTAAACTTAATCCACCTAGTCTAATTATACAGTAAGTGTGCAGGAAAAAGGGAGCTAGAGTATAATTTACTTTAAAAAGCATAAATTATACAATACTAACTTTGAGAAAAGCAAAATACTAGGTATAAAGGGTTGTAAAAAGGAGTCATTGGTCTTGAAATGTGGATTGTATTACTGAACTGCTCGTCCAATAATGTACCGTCTTTGGCCTTGTGCCCGCTATGAACTGAGAGTAAACATGCTGGTGTTTTCAGTGATAATAAAGAGAGGAGAAGTTAGTTCTCAGTCGAACAAGTTATGTTTAGCAGTTCAGGCAGAGCTTCTTACCTTCTCCACCTCCGATTTAGTGGCGTTGATGTCATTATCTAACCGATCATAGGTAATCTGGGATTTCTCTGCTTCTTTACACTCCCTCTCAAACTTCCTTTTACTCTAAAAGAGAGAAACAAAAACAGAAAAGGAAAGTTCATACATCAAGAGACACATTTTCAAAGAGTCTTCAGTGAATTAAAAAAAAGAGTGTTCAGAACAAAAGCCAAGAGGGAGATGAATCAGGCAGGGAGATAGTTTACTTCCTGCCAGCCCATCTGGGTCACATTAGCAGTGAAGGAAACAGAGAATAGCTGAGACATTACAGTCCAGTCACCAAGTAGTCACCATTGAAGTCATGCAGACCACACACTGAAAATGTGCCAGTGTGAAGTAACTCAGACCTATGAAATCTGAGTGGACATGCATTTTTTATACATGTAATAAGCAGGAATTCGATTTTTAGCACTTTAGGAGTCGTGGAGGTTAATTATAAATGTTGTAATGAGCCGATTGTAATAAAACGTTTTTTTGCAAACGCATTAAAATGACCTAAGAAGTGAAGAAATGGAATATCAGTTGCCTTTTTACGAGCCAAAAAGACCGTTGTCGAGGGCCAAATGTGACACATGGGCTGGTGTACACTGAGGCCTGCGTGTGTGTGTGTGTGTGTGTGTGTGTGTGTGTGTGTGTGTGTGTGTGTGTGTGTGTGTGTGTGTGTGTGTGTGTGTGTGTGTGTGTGTGGTGTGTGTGGTGTGTGTGTGTGTGTGTGTGTGTGTGTGTGTGTGTGTGTGTGTGTGTGTGTGTGTGTGTGTGTGTGTGTGTGTGTGTGTGTGTGTGTGTGTGTGTGTGTGTGTGTGTGTGTCCTTGTCCTGGCCCCTGTCCTGGGAGGATTGCCAGAAAGAAGAATAGGTCACTGCTGTCTTTTCACAGTCAGAAACGAATGTTTTCATATTTCTACTAATTTGGGACTAACATTACAGGGGAGCCTATATTACTTATCTTGATATAAATGACATACAATTACCACACATGACGTGCTAGTGTCTTCATTAAATAATGGCATGTGCGGAATTAAACGGGGAAAAAGTGCAACCCCTATTTGTCCTAAAGTACACCTTTGTTTGCATTTCTTGCATTCCTTGCGCAACAAGTATGAGTCCAGCTGGCTGTCCCTAACAGAGGATATTTACACTAAACACTTTTTCTCTGCATTCCCCCCTTCTTGAGCCCTCCCTCCCCACTTACATTGTCCATCTGTTTCCAGCAATGATCCAAATGCTGCTGGGCCTTCCTGCCCTCCTGTAGATGCTGCTCATATACACACACAAACAGAAACGAGACACATTTACACAGGAACACAGGAAAAAAACACATAAATAGAGCTCATAGAACACATTCATATGCACATACACAACATAACTGGACTTTGTATCACTGTTACGTACATAAATACAATCCTCTGGAAACAAAAAGTGCCAAGTTTATAAGAGTCCAGTGAGTAAAGCAGTGAAAGAACAAATTCAGACTTAACTGCAAATTAGTTACACATTACATCTTTAAGACAATGTTCCATTCATCGTTAGAGCATAATGTTAGGACACTTCTCATTGTATACCACATGTCTGATTAAAATATATTCATAATTTGGCAAAACCATCCCAGCTCAAGGTCTACTCATTAAGTTTTCCTGAGGGCAGATAGTTTTGCAGAGTAGCCATGGAGATGGATGTGTTGACATGCGCTGACGACGACCACATGATGAGGTAATGAGTGCAGAAGAGGCCTGTAGCGGACCTTGGCTTGGAACTTTTTTGTCAAACCAACAATTTGCTTCACTTATAGGCCAATACTGAGGAGAAATCTTTCAAGTGCTGAGGATGGAATCATAACAGCTACTGTGCGGTGCCGGTCAGTAGGCCTAGAGTTGGGATTTATGGTTTTCAAGGTCAGATTTCTAAATGTGTATCATGACCTTCTTTCTTATATTTCAATTCTGTATAATTTTCGTCTGTATAAGTGTCATGGCCTCCACCACTAGTTTTGCTTAAAATCTCTGAATAGATTTTTTATATGTGGAGGGTTCGATAACCATGATAAACATGAAACATTCACTAACTGTACATAAGAATAAATTCTGCACATGTTGCTCATTTCTTCTTCACACTACCTCTTTTAAATCAGCACAGCTATCCACTTTGAATAAAGTATATAGTAATTATTTTTCACTGTACTCATTTTCTCACATAATTATATTTTGTGTAAATATTGTCTTGAATTTGTTAGAATAGTCTTAAAATACATTTTTTAAATAGCTGTTGTAAAAGTAGTGTTTATATTTTACTTCTGTATCTTTGTATGCATGACATATACCAAAGATAATTTGTCGTATGTGTAAACCTACTTGATAATACAAAATAATTCTGATTCTGAAGAGATGTTACCTACTTAAAAAAAATCTAACTCAAAACAATAAAAAAACTAAAATAAAAAACCTGTGTAATATTTCTCTGTGTGAAGCAGATTTCTTGTTATGGGTAAAATCCTGACTCAGTTCCAATGATATTATTATACAAATATTAAATAAATGTGTTTCTGCAAGTTGCCATTAACCAAAATTACACACTGTCAGTAAATTATAAGACATCAATAATATAGAAAGTGCACTGTGCCTTATAGTGTATCGATTTATCTGGTGCTGATCATCACTAAACAAGAAGGGGGCGCTGTTCTTCCTAAACACATGGATGACAAATGTTTGGGGCCTATGGCCTCAGCAGATGGGGGAAGAAGTAAAAGACAGATGGTTAACATCACATCCAACATATGTATCCCCTTGAGTGAAGCCAAACAGAAAATAAGTGAATATGAGGCGACACACAGGATATAAAGGGCAAACAGCAACATCCGTTTCATGACAGAAAGCAGCAGGTTCTCTGGGAAACGTGGTCTTAATTATGGATGGATACACTGAAAGCCAATGAAAATAAACTTCTTTTTGCAACTTTTTTGCAATTGTATACAGAGTGCAGTGACGTATGGACTTGTTAGTGAACTTACATGCTTCCTCTCAGCTTTGAAGTCTTGGCTGTACCTCATCAGCTCTCCGTACACCTTGTGAGTCATCTCCTCGGCAACGACCTCCCTCTGCCCGGCGTAGTCGTTGAGTTCATTCAGTACGGAGTAGAAAGACAGACATGATGTGAACCTGCACAACAGACACACATCAAACAAGTGATTACCACTGCAAAAAAAACAGGCTTCCTCTTTTTCATCTGTTCACAGAGACATCTGCATCTGCTGTCCATTAAGAGCTGAAGAGAACCCAGAGCCTAAATGATCATTACTTATTAATAACATCTAATGCATGATATGTGTAGTGTATGTATGCAGTGTGATATGTTATATTATTGCATGGATCTCCCGTACGTACCTCTTGAGCATTAAAGGTCCCATGTCATGCTTTTCCGGTTATTACCCGTCCCCTTGTGTGTTATGAAGCTTTTTATGCATGTAAACGGTCTGCAAAGTCACAAACCCTCAAAGTACACCCTGTAGCGAGTAAAACTCTAACACAGAAAAGACCTGTCTATGCTGCCCCAGAACGCCTCGTTGGAGATTTCTCTTTTTCCATTGTTTTCTTCCTGGGTACAGTGACGTGCCCATACCCAAATGGACTCATTGGCCCAAATGGACAAATCCGTGGAGCAGTTACGTTACGTCCGCGGAGCCGTTACGTTAAGTCCGTGGATTGGTCCAAATGGACCAATCCGCGGACTTCCTCACACACACACTCAATCTTTTCTCAGCTGCAGCTCCGCCGATTTCTCCTCCCTTAGACGGCGGGACGCAGCGAAGCTGTGAGTCGGTGTGTGAGCACACACACAAACTCCCAGCCAGGCTGCGGGTGTGTGTGTGTGTGTGTGTTCAGGCTGGTTTCGGGCTGGGTTTCGCTGTGTCTCGCTGTCTCGCAGACGGCCACTGGGCTCATAGGGGAGGGGGGGCAGAGAGTGAATACACATACTATACAGAGATGCTGTATGAGAAACCAATGTGATTTTGGGAAATTGCACAATATAAATCTATTTTAGTATACCTCAACAATGGAATTATGATCAGTAGAAATGGCCATGACATGGGACCTTTAAGTGAATTAAATGGAGAATCGCATGGGAAATTGAAGGAATGGTTTGGCACTGAAGAAAGAGACTGTTTTCCTATTTATTTAATCGAGAATAATTCTGAATCATATCACTACCCTCATATCATTTGGGCGAGACCCTTGTAAGCTCAACTTTTGAAGTTTGTGTATGTGTTTTTCACCACAAACAAAAATATTGTGTTGGAATACAATTGTTAATGTATCTAAATTTGACATTTCTATAAAAAATGCTTAGTTCTTGCTGCATCCTCAACATTGGTTCTTTATTGGCTGCTTGAGGAATCACTTGAGGGTGTACAACTATTTGGTAACACAAGAAAGGAAAACTAAGAGTGTGTGTCAAGAGTCACATGGCACAACTGTTTCAGAGTGATGGCAGTTAAGTGGATCTGCCACATTATATACATCATATGTTCAATACAGTAAAATAAAAAGGTGTTTTGGAATGATGAATAAAAGTAATACACAAAACAAATTATCTAAATTTGACTCACCTCGGCTCCTCTTCTTTAGAGCGTTTAGGACAGTATTTCTTCACCAAGTTCCTGATGGGAGAGAGAGAAGCAGACACAGGAAGTTACAAATACTGTCTGATATTTTAAGCCTGGTAGGTAAACAGGTAAATAGACAAGAGTCAGACACACACACAGTCTCTCATACACAGTCACACACACTCAGGATCTGAGTATTTTATTAAAGATGAATCGAGAATTTGAACATCAGAGCCTCAGCCTGTCCACTCCCTCAGGCTCTGACAGTACACCAGTCAGAAAGTGATTTAACTAGAGAGCAGAGGAATGTGTGTGTGTGTGTATTTTCAGCAACAAAGAACGGGGTCTTCCTGCAATACATGTTCTGTAAAAATGTGCACGTCCTCTCACACAGAGCTCCATCTTTGATCATACTTCAGACCGGCAGAGTGGAAGTGTGTGTGTGCGTGTGCGTGTGCGTGTGTGTGTTGTATTCTGAAGGGATTCCCCCCTCTTTGAAATCAACCACTGGGACTCCACTGGTTTTTAATGAGGATTACTTGGTTTGTGCTGGTTGAATTGTCTCATGAGACAGGATTAAACTAAATAAAAGATATAACCAACCTTGAAATATTTTGAAGAAATTCTTAAATCTTATAGTATTATGTGTATGCTGGATATAAAGACAGGCTGCACAAATCATGCTTGAACATTTCAAACATTTTTGCAGAGCTCAGACTTCAGGATAATGGCCTCACAGATGAATGGCGTCTGGAAATGAGTGCATCTGTATTGTGTAACTGATTATGTATTTCAAATTCTTCAGGGCATCCTGACTAGAACACTAGCATGTCAGGGTCCAACATATAGTATGCCATGTTAAAAAGGGCCCTATTGTGCTTTTTGGGGTTTAACCTTACCTGTAGTTGCATTATATAGTGACATCAATATGTAACACTCGTGTTTCTATTGGCTAGCGCTCCAACACATTGTATGTGATAGACTACGGGGTGGGACATCTCTGAGCAGTTGAGCGATCACAACATCTAACAATCAGAGCAGACTGGGCTCTGGTTTCAGACAGAGGATGAAAAGAGGTGCTGCAGCACGTATGGCAGTATGAGAAACATAAAGAGCTTTTTGAACATTAAAGTATGTAAACATGTCAGAGGCACAAAATACAAATGTGAACCTGAATATGAGCATATATGCATCTTACATAGGGATTGAAATGATGAAATATTGAGATGACTGATCACAGCACATCATAAATAAACAATAATATAGACCGTTTTTTGTAAAAGTGTGATGCAAGCTATTTTGGGTAAATGCAAAGCTTATCTGCAATTACATTTTGGTTAAACAGAAAAGTATATTAAAATGTGAAGCAATAAAATATGAATATCAGACGGGATACTAGAGATCCTTGATTCTTGCTTTTTTTGTATAAGAAAATGAAAAAATTGAGTTAGTCTATCTTAGCTGCACTATAAACGCCTTTTGTGTGAATGTAGGTATATCTGCCCATGTAAACGTGTGTGTGTGTGTGCGTGCGTGTGCGTGTGCGTGTGCGTGTGTGTGTGTGTGTGTGTACCTTAGCTGCTTGGCATAGGTTTGCTCTATGTCCAGCCTCTCCTTGACAAACTTTGCATAGCGTTCAATAAAGTCGATGCCCCACTGGGTGTGTTTGTCCAGATTATCAAACTGGTCCTGAAGAAGAAACAAGGGAGGGAGGAGAAAGGGAGAGAAATGTACTTTTACAAAACAATTGACAACATTTTTAAAACATTTTCTGCAACCAAAACACACATTTGAGAAGAATCATTAGATAGTAATAAAACAATAAATACAAATAAAAAGCGAGTTGATGGAGAAACGTTCTTTTGTCCGACATTAGGGTTAACATTTGGGGTTACATGACTCAGCAGTGTGAATGCTTGTATAAGCCTGTTCCTGTTTATACAAATAAAACACACATGTCCTGCTGCCAGTGACTCAGCAGTTAGTGTTCAATTTGTCAGGGAACCATATTACACACACACGTCTTATACATCATACCAGATTAAAAGTGATCCAGAACAAATTATGATAAGATCCATGTGCAGATTCAGTTCATGCTTTATAAACATTACAAAAACCAACGCTATTATAACTATGAGGATTACGAATTGATAGAGACTCGCTTCAGTAATCCAAGCAAAGTATCAATCAAATTGTTAAACTATTATTATAATTCTAGTAAAAACATCATGAAATTCAAGAGAAAATGATCCAATCACAATATGGTGTATCAGTTACAAGACATTACTGCGTGTGTGTCTTCAGGATTGTTAGACTGGCAACAATGGCTCTGCTCAAGTGGAAAAAGACAATCATTTACAGCCCTTGAACACACACATACACAGGGATTATAGCAGCTTTGTTATCAGATGTCTATTTGAACACACAATAAACAATCTCCACCCTTTTCCCACCATGCAGCCTTGACCTTCATAATGCGAGAAATTTAAGATGAATCATTTTACAATATTTATATGTGCATATTCTCTCAGTCTTAGGGAGGATTTGACAGCACATGTTCAGTGCCTGGATGATGCTTTGTTTGAATGAATTCAGAGAAGCATCCAGCACACACACAAATATATATTTTTTTGTATTACACACCCAGCACACACACTGTCTTATCTGTTTCCCATTGGAGTGTTTTGTGGGTCCTTTAAGTGCTTTCTTTAAGTGCACCACAATGGTGGTAACAAGAAAGGCTCAGGTGGTTCTTTTTGGCTTTTTAACCCTGAACTCTCCAGCCAGACTGGACATAAGAGTTTCCAGGTAAAAGTCCATATACTGATCTAAATGTTACTAATGCACACAAAGAGACAACAACACTTTCAGAAACAATCAAGAAATGACAACACTAAAACAAATCGTAGTCAGCATTGTGTCACATATAGATTCACAAGTGGCTCTTCTGTAACAACAATCTGTGTGAAGTGTGCTGCCCCACCTACCACTCTTTATACTTCTCTGCATCTTTCTGTTTTTGTGTCAACACAAACCAAGGCCCGGACTGGAGCAAATAAGGGTCGCCATGGGAAATAGGAGACAGCTGACCTCCTTGTCGGCTCAGTTATCATTTTCTTCAAATACAAAAGACAGAAGGGCAGCCATGTTGCAATGTGTCTTAGTCACTTGTGTTTTCGGAGAGTGTGTGTTGAGAAACCAACCTGTTTGTATTGGTAACATTTGAAAGGTGCACAGACAAGACTCTTGGGACTTTTGGGTTTGATCCCATGTCTAGCATTTGCCCTGCTGAAGTGTCCTTGAGCAACACACTGAATCCATACACAGTTCAATTTGTTGGATCAATGTAAAATAATTGACCATATCTTACACACCAATTGAACACAATAACCTTCTTCCAAATAGAATTAGAGCAACATGTCAGGCTGCATGAATGAAGCTGTCTCATGTTTCCTCTGTGTATGTAGCCAATGTACATTGAGGTCCAACAAAAGCCTGGGATAATATTTCCAATGTGATCTGGAGAACATTTTTCTGATTAAAAAAACTGAAAGCAAGAGAACGCCTGCAGTCGAAAAGGAGCCATCAATCAAAGAAAAGGCTGACAAAATGAAGCCACTGAGAAGAACAAAAGGGCCCCAGCATGTTAAAACAAACCAGTGTCGGGGGTGAAACATGGACCGGCAGAGTAAACAGCAGCCAATGGTCTCTCCTAGGCCTGACGCCAGTTTCTATCAGCAGGAAAGAAGTTGCAAAATATCTCAGTGGTGAAAACTAGAGCCAAGTGTTTAGCAGCCAATTTCAAGCATATGTTGCTGTTCGACCACAAATATTTAGCTCGTAAGGATGCAGCCAAGAAGCAAGGAACGTATCTGGATGCCTGTTTTTTGTTTGGTCTTTATCCTTTGCATCCTGCCAGTCTAGTTGCATCTGCAAAAAATACTCAGCAGCCCTTCTGTTGCAAGCCTGGCCTGCAAACATGCCTGTCCAACTCCTTTCAGCCGGCTGTGTGTCTGGTTGCATCAGCCTGTGTGACGCTGTCTATGAATAAGTAATAGAGTATGAGCTCATTGTGGCAAGCTGAGCACAAACGGGCTCACTGGGGAAATGACAGCATCGTTGTGCTCCGGGTCTCTCAGCCCCCAGGAAAGGTAGGAGGAAGATGAAATGATGAGGATGGTTTTTGCTTAGCTGAAGGAAACAAAGAGTAGGAATACAGCCTGCACGCAGCACCTGCAATTTAACTAATCCTGTCCGTTCAGTCTTTTTTTCTTTGGCATTCAGACCTCTCACTCCAGTTTAACATTATGAAGCTAGCAGTTGTTACTTCCTTATGATACAATAGCATTGCTATGTTGCTAAATTGTTCCTCAAAAAAAAGAAGAGTCAGAAATGAATCTTTCAGCATTTTCAAATAAGCCTGGTGCCAATATTTTTGATAGTTTTAGTTTGTGCAAATACAGGTTGCCAATAACCAAATCTGTTTTACTACATTCAAATATTTTGTCAATGTCATTTTTTTCTTTTAAATAAAATCAAGATTTGTATTTTGGCACATCCATTAAGGCAGGGGTTCCCAACCTTCATTGTGCCAAGGACCGGCAGATACATTCAAAAAAATATCGCGGACCGGTTGTCAATTTTAACTGATTTTAATATTTACTCACCAGCAGGTAGCAACAGAGGCTAATTGTATGTAACAGCCTGAACAAATACTATAACTATATGCATCCAAAACATATTACCGGTGTCGTTTTTTTGTTTTTCGGCAAAACAGAAAAACGGAAAACCAAAAAAACTACGTTATTCAGTTTTTAAACCAAAACGGGAAAACAGATAAATCAACGTTTTGGTTTTGTTTGTATGATTTACGGATAATCCAGTGAATGCTGGGAAAACGAGGAGATGGTGCATTATGAAGGAGATGTCCGGTCGCCAGGGTGTGTGTGAGTGTGAGTGAGTGAGTGAGTGAGTGAGTGAGTGAGTGAGTGAGTGAGTGAGTGAGTGAGTGAGTGAGTGTGTGTGTGTGTGTGTGTGTGTGTGAGACACTGGCATTTGTTTTCAGAAGATATTATGATAGTGTAGTTCGTTCTGGTGCACACACACATCATGCACCTTGGTGACCGGACATCTCCTTCATACAACGAGTAATAGGGGGAATAATCGGGCAGTTCGATGTGTGTAGAGGTGTGTGTGGTTAACACGTAGCAGCCTGCCATGCTCTTTAGCTGTTCTGATGAAGGTAAACACAGTGAAGGCGGTGCGTAAAAAGGCACAGCTCTCGGCACGCTGGTGCTGCACTTCTCAGAGGCGGAGTTACACGTCCCGCTGCCTCCTGATGTTGCAGCCATTTCATGAAGTGAAGGAGGTTTTCCTTCTATAAAACAGCTGTGGGCAGCAGATACTGTGAGAGTCCCGGACATGAATTCATAGATCAAGGCAGACTGGTTTACAGACTCTCCTGTTTTGCCAATCCGGTGCTTAAACAAATAGCTCTACACCCTTGGCCGACATGTCCTTAAAATGAAGTCCGAGTTTGAAATATATCTCAAATAATGTATGCACCACCATTTCTCCACCCATAAACATAACAGTCTGCAATGAAACGGTTGTCTCCTGTGCTCTCCTCTTCCTACTTGGCGCACTGGTAACTTTCTCGTGCGAACGAGAGGCTGAGACCTTAGGCTGAGCCTTCGAAAAGCAGTACTGCTGAAAAAACAACAGACTCATATCAGCTGATCCCAGCTAGCAACACAAAGGTGCACCAATAGCCATGTTATCAGTAACAACAATTCTACATCCTGTCACATAATCATCACATAATCACAGGAAGAGATGTGCAGTGCAGGGGGTTGATGTACAATGTGTACTGGATTGAGAGAAGCAGGATTCATCCTTATTGTTCCAGTTACTATAGAGAGCTCAAATGATACATTTCCAATATTCAGATGGGGCAGCTATTCTGCATGCTTATCACAAAACTGTCCACCAGGCAGATTATTTAAATACTTCTTCCATAAGAAAACACAAGAAGACTAGAGATGTCAGAAGCAGAGAACTTTAGAGACAACATGTATTGTTTGGCATGCTTCATTTAAAGAGGACATGAGATGTCTGTTACTTGCAAATCATTCTAGAAAATGTTGTAATAATTGTTTTCAAAATGGGTATAAGTATGTTATAAAGTACACAAATTAATTCTCACTTCCTTTTAAATGCAATATTAACAAATAAATGGCACAATTCTCTTCATGTTTTTTGTAGTAGCTAAATCCCCACATTTCAATAACAGTTTGTATATAGATTTAGGAACTGCTATTTAAATTGGGAGAGAGTGATGATTCAGCCAGCCTGGTGCATCGGTTAAACAGCTTATTGCATATTCGTATCTTTGTAAGAAAAATGGGACTATATGATGGATAATATGTTGTCTAAGAAAAAGCTCTGGCTGGGTTATTTATTAACTGTTAAATGTCCAGCTTAGATCATAACTTTGACTCAAATGAAATAATTTGAGGGTTATAAATAAAATGTTATTGTCTTACGTTTAACTGTGTGTCGGTTGGGTTTTCATTTTGGATATGATAACTACACAATTGTATGTTTTTTAGCCTGATTGGACAAAAGCTACTGTGACCGGTGAACAATAATATTTCTTTCCTTCCTGGATTCAAACCCAAAAATTGGGT